AACTTCTTAAATATCACACTTTGGTTTTATTAAAAATTAGGGGAACAAAATAAGGTTTTTTTTCCTTTGCCAGTAAGAAGATTAACGTTTAAAAGTTTTAATAGTTTTGTTTTTTCATCTATTTTTTAAATTCATAAATTTATAAAATGCTTTTTTATTTAAATGTTAATTTCAAAAGTCAGAAACAAAAAAAAAAAAAAGAAAATATTTTAGCCGTTTGTTTATCTTTTCTGTTGTTTTGCTCTGTTTTCCTCTCTCATGTAATATTTTTGCAGCAATAGTTTTGTTACTATTGCTGCTGCTGTTGCCGCCGCTGTTTAACCGTCGATGCTGCAGTGCAGAAGACGGGAGAACGAGATGATGTGGAGAAAATAAATTTAACAATAATAGAGATATGCTGCTAAGAAAGTTTTTGTTTTTTTTTAATCTACCACCTTAGCAGCCGATAGACTATCAGTTGTTAGCTGTTGTCTGTTTCAAGTTTAATCAGATATGTCCAACGATCAAGGAACAAATAGTTCTGCTTATGATTAACCGTTTCTGCTCGATCTTCAACTTTTTGACAACTCTTTTCTTTTTTTTTTTTCTAGCTAAAAACTTATATTTTCTTCATATTCTTCTTGCATCTGACCTTTTTTTTGCTGTCAGTGTTTTTGCTTAGTTACTATTTTTAAAATTATTTATCTAAACAATCAGGTAGCTAAATTGCTTGTTGGCAAATTCATCATCATCGTCAGTACCATCATTTTTTTCCTCTACCTCCGTTGAACAATACCACAACTTTGATCGGTAAACATTGCTGTTAACATCTTTTAGGAATGATTTATCGATGATATGTTAAAGCGTTATTTTCACACTTCATATCTGTACAGATACAGACGTCTTTTTTTAATTATTATTCTTATTTTCAAAACAAAGGTTTCTTTTTTTCTTAACTTCAACCTTTTTTTCACTCTCACTTTTCTTTTTTTTGTCTCGATTTGTCTTAAAGATCTTTTGTCTGCTTAACAGAGAAATTTGTAATCAGTGACTCTGTTTTCGCCCGCACTCGATAAAGTTTCTTGGCATAAACATTTCGAAAATTCATTTGGATGATTACCTCGCAAATGTCAACCGAA